CTCGCTCTCTGCGTTACCAAAGAGCGAAAAAGGAGTTGCAACTATAATATAATAGTACTTTGTTCAAGAATGCGTGTCAAAACAGGTAATATAAAGCAATTCAACATCAAACTTCATATTTAAATCTAAATCAGTCCTATGACTAGGAACAATCGAATAAAGTTCGTTTGGAAGCGATAAAACAACGTGCATTAGAAAAGAAAGTAGAAAGGGAGAAAATTACTCAGGCTTTAAGGAAAAATGAAGGATCAACGGTTATTATATATTTGTAATTTATTTTTATTACATATGTTAATCATTAAACTAACTTGCACGATTTTCAGAAGTCAACGAACCATATAGTGTTTTCTGATAATAATTTATCACCAAAAATATCTGAAAATCTCAACTTGTTTGATTCGGATGAAGAACATAACGACGAACAATCAAACTTGGGTACTAAATAATTATTTACACAAATAAATATATTTATGCCCTGAAATACAAATATAGTTTTATTGCAAATTTTGTAGATATAGCAATTAATCCAATATTTGAAGGCGAATCTGGACGTGAACGTCTCTACATTCAAAGAAAGTTTCATGGTGATGACCGGTTCAAATTGACTAGCGATTTTGTTAGTGACGATGAAAAAAATAATGCAGATGAAAATAATCCTGAGAAAAATGACAATATGGATCAAGTACTGCCAGAAGAAAAAGCAAACCAGATTGGAATCTTGAAAGGGCTTCTGGGTTATGATCCAAATAAATCTAATCCTAAAAAGTTTGTAAATAAACGGTTTCTTTTAGTGTTTTTCGATCGTAATACAATATGATATTATTTCTTTCGTTCTACAGGAAATCGTTGCAATGGAAAGAACTGGTTCATTTTGATCCTGATGCGCCTGAAGCTAAGAATCTCGAATTGGATAGTATTCACGAAGATTCGGATTCGTCAGGTATATACTTTAAAGTCGCAAATTTACACGTGTGAAATTGTAATAAATGTTTATATTCATGTGCAGAACCTATAACCGGGTCTAAAACAACGCAGTCACAGCCATCACAGCCCTTACCACAAGTATCAAAAGAAGTAAAGATCGAAATAAATGCTGATTTAAAAAGAATGTTTGCTCCAAACGCTTTAAAAGGTAAAAAAGGTTTTCATAAAGAATTTTAAAAGAATTGTTTTGTACACGCATTCTTGAACAAAGTACTATTATATTATAGTTGCAACTCCTTTTTCGCTCTTTGGTAACGCAGAGAGCGAG